AGAGAGAGAGAGAGAGAGAGAGAGAGATATGAATGGTCAAGCTGCCCAAACTGGCTGATTGGTCCCAACCCAAATATCTAAGCGTAATTGATTATGGGCCCTATCTTCCACTATCGGGCTTCACCATCTGGCCCACTTACACTACATATTCATAATACGTATAAGGCCCAAACAATTATCAATGGTGCCCGGCCCAACGACTACCTAATACGACAAGCCTTGAAAAATGAGATATGGATAATGTCATGTCAATATGGACACAGGATGACGATGAATCTTCACCACGTTTTGATGAATCTGACCGTTTTTCAGCCCCCCTTCATTTGCATTTCATGACGCACCCATCCACCCACTCCTCGCTTTATTTATAATTTAAGTCAACGTTAGGTTTCTCCAATGATTTTTTTTAATATATAATTAATAAATATAAAAACTGATGGTGACAACTGATAAGCTCATTTAAACCATTCGTATTAACACGCGGGGCAAGACAACACAGAAACCGAAGCCAGAGAGACATTTACAAACACGAGAGGGTAAATTCGTAAATTCAGCTTGTTTCCCTATGGTGGGACTCACAGAGGTCAACTACATTTGACCCCTATACCATAAGAAGAAAAAGCAAAGTCACTCGCTCTCTCGTAACTGCACAACTCAGAGAGCTTTCTTTCAGCAACTTATTTTCTTCTCATCTTCTTCTTCTTCTTCTCCATCGTTATCGTCAACATCTTCATCTTTTTTTTTACAGATTCAAACATCTTCCAAGAGCTTGGGAGAACACGAAGCCACTGCGTCGGCGACTGTTAAGAAGATCTTGTCGTGTCCGATCATGTCGGCCAAATGCGACAGGTGAAGCTTGTCTATCACCGCGGGTCCAGGATTCGCCAGAATCAACTGTTTATACAACACAGATTCATTTAACTTCTCCTTCAAGGTAAACCCGTTTCCTCCAAATCCACTATCACATGCTTGTACTTTGAGTGTGTGTGTGTATATATATGTATACCTGAACATCTCTTTTCTGGAGAGCTTTGTATAAGTCTTCCAGGGCATGAATACCGCTCGTATCGATGTCAGTAACAGCTGAAAGTAGGTAAAAATAGTTGGTGGGAGTCGTAGAAATTCGTGTCTGCATACGCGCATATATACGTATTTAGGGAGAGAGAGTGAGTGTTTACGTGACATCTCAACGATCAGAAACTGGATTCTGGGTAGATTTGCAGCTTTCACCTTCTCTTCTTCATCTGTCAACCACCTCAGCATCCTGCAGGAAAATCCCCACAACAGAACATTAGTTTCCTGCAAACCAAGTAACCCGCGGACTCAACCCCGTCTTGTGGATATTCTTACAACACAATAAAACTGACACGACAAGCTCGGTAATATGTGAACTGGATAGTTAGTTTGATGGATTAGGGTTTCCTCGTCTTTTACCTTTCTCTGACATAGTTGGAGTTGGAGAAGTAAATCGCGGAATCGACTCGGATGATGAGTGCACCAGGAACCATACTCGCTTCAGGATACTGTTGAATGTTCCGGTAGACTGTCGTCCTCGGTATCTTTCCTAGAACCGCGGTTCTAGGCCTCGTAACTTGCAACAGTATCTTGGCGAATGAGATGCAAACCTATTCGCCAAAACATTCAGATGTTAATTATGTATGTTATGTATGTCTGTATGTATATGTATCTATGTGTATGTTATTGTACGAACCGCGATAAGGAGACCAATCTCAACAGAGGCGAAGATGACGCCGAAGAAAGCTCCCATACAAGCGATGAAATCGAATTTATCGATCTTCCAGATAAGAACAGCCGCATTGACATCGATCAATGGAATAACCGCGTTTATAATGATCGCTGCAAGAATCGCGTTTGGAGTGTACTTGAAGAGAGGAGTTATGAAAAGCAACGTCAAGAGCACAACAATGGACATGACTATGTTTGATACTGCAGTGTGGCATCCCGCCATGAAGTTCACTGCTGATCTTGAGAATGAACCTGAAAGCCGAAACAGAAGAAACGCCGGAAAAAAAATTCTCAGATCGGATCAAATAACGATTTCGGATTGTTTTGTCAAATCTCTGATCTTTTTCTTGGATGATGAGTCTTACCAGTCGCTATGTAGCAAGAGAACATTGAACCGACAACATTCATAGCACCTAAAGCCACCATTTCTTTGTTACCATCAATTTGGTAATCCTTCATGGCTGCAAATGTTCTTCCAATCGCAACCGCTTCCTGAAGCAAACGCAAACGTGGAGATTTGGACGTTAGGTTTTAGATGGAAGGAAAATGTGTGGAATCCGAATCATGATGGAACATTGAACATAGTTACCGTTAAGGCGATCATGCCAGCGACTACACCTATACGGACACCCTTGAGAAGAAAATCGCCCGTGAAGTAGATTTGATTTGCGGATACAGGATTTATGCCTTTGTCGAGGTGTTTCACCTTCATTCGTAAAAAAAAAAAAACCGAAACGTTGATCAATACAACGTTGAATTACTTGCGCTGCAAGCATAAAAAGCAGATAGCTTTGTGCTTACGATTGCAACTCCTTTTTTATCGGCTCGGGTTATGAACACGAAGAAGGTGGATATGATGACAGATAACAATGGAGCAACCGCTGGAATCCAGAAATATTTCTTGTTCTTCTTCCCCTGTCGTATATGTCATCCAAGAGATCGATCGGTCATAACAAATTCAATCCAAGAACTATCAGATCACGAATAAAAGTATATGGATGATGTATATAAGTTATATATCGTACGATGAATTTGGCTGTGAGAAGGAAGGCCAAGAAGCTTGCGCCGATGAGAATGGTCTGCCAGTTCCACTGCAAGAAAATCATAACAACTGGTGAGGAGGATGGATTTCAACATCAAAGAAAGATGCTACAAAGTGAAACAAAACGGTATGATCGGTTCATACTCCGTGATGAGCTACGCTAAAGACCGAGTCCAAGACATGGATTATGTCGGTTTTCTTGGTGAAGTTCTTTATTCCGAGGAACCCTTTGAGCTGCTGAAGGGCAATGGTGACGGCTGCGCCTCCCATGAATCCAACAATCGCCGCATGGGACAGGAAATCGATCAAGAATCCCAATCTGATACCCGAGGAAAAGACGTTTACAGTCTGATATTTAGAAAGATTTCGATCCTTATATATGTTAAGTTAAATACCCAAGTATTTACCTGAGGAATCCGAGGGCTGCTTCAGTGATACCCGCGAAGAATGTGGCCGTGAAGGCGAGGCGGACATACTCAGTAGGGTTCTTTTTCGGATCAACTTCATTCTGAAGCAAAGTTCCTAAGAGAAGAGACACAACAGCAACTGGTCCGATTGCTATATCCCTTGAACTACCCATACATGCATACACCAACGGTGGAATGAAACTCGAATCTGTATTCATTTGCAAAACATTCATACAGATCAACAGTCAATACGCATATCGCATAATAATGTTTATAGCATCATAGTAGGAGATCGATGGAGTACTTACATAATCCGTATTTAGGATCAAGATTCGCGAGTTTCGCATACCCAATGTCCTGATAGCATGACAAGACATACATAATCAGTCTCACGATTTCGAACGTGAAGGATACATACACTTGAAGAGGTATGATTTGGATATGTCTATTTGAAATATAGACAACAGTTGACATGTCTCCCCCTTGACATTCCAAAAGGTTAATTGAACAAAGAATTCCGAAGAAATACATACGGACATATATATCAGATTTCTAGACGAGAACATTTGGGTCATGGAAAAGTGCATTCAATTCTTGTAATCGAGTTTTTGACCCTCGACAAAGTTGAAGAAAAGATATGCGATTCCAACCGCGAGGTTAATCAAACGGGTATGTTTCGAATTCTTAGTTTACTACAGAACGTGTAGAAGAGGTTGGTTACTTGGGGGACAAGAAAAGATCGGTCACCTGAGGAATGCAGAGACTAGCGATGGTTAAACCGGCGATTAAATCTCCACGAAACTTGGTGAGATTGTAGTTTCTTCCCCATTCGAAAACCGGGAACACTGCCTGCACACCGAGCATGAACTTCTTCGATCTCGGCTGATCCTTGAAATGCCGTAGAGGATCGTCGTGGAAGAAGGTCTCTCTGATATGGTGCATGAACTCGTTGAACAGGTTTTGCTTCGGAGGCACACCCACTCTATGGATGTACGGCCCGTGGCTCTCCCGCCGTGACGATGAAAGACTTCGGATATCTCCAGCGGTCGGCTCGCCATCTCCGTCGACAGGGTGAGCTCTCGCCGCCATGACTTCTGCTTATAAATTTTATCACAACCCACAAATTTATTTTCAGTTTAGAGGACGTGAGAGTTAATAAATGCACGAAAAAAAAAATAGAGAATTAGAAACGACGGAAAGCGGTAGCATTAATAGAAAAGAGACGAAGATATATTAAATGTTGGTCCAAAATGTGTGAATAAAGGAACGATGATCTAACCCACGAGAAGATGATGGAGAAAGCCCTTTAAGAATGGTTGTAAGAGTACAGAGATCTGTTTGGGGGTAACAATTAACGAAGAAGTGTATTTATAAGCAAGTTTACTACATTAAAGAAGAAGTGAAAGTCAAACCTCCAAATAGGTGGATTGTATTCTATATTTTGCAATTATAGTATATATATATATATATACTTCGTAAATGAATCTGGAATGCAATAGAGGCAAATACATTTTAATAGAAAGTGTAAGCAAAGTTTGATTAGGTCAGTGGCATTGTTGTCTTTATTAAATTGGAAATAATCTTGAAGTCAATGGCTATTTTGAATATAAACAATTTCTCAGAGTTGATGGCTGCAACTCATTTTTTTTTCTTGCAAGAGGGAGACCATCATTATTGACAAAGAGAGGCCCTTGGGGATGATTGCTAGCCTATATTACTACAGGAGTTGGACATTGTAAATCATTTTTTTCGGATCGTATCTACAAAATAGATTATAAATTATGTCACAATCATTACTGAAATTGGAAAACAAATTCACCATAGGTGTGAAAACGGACCAAAGTTCAAAAGTAACAAAACACTTTACAGAATCTTTTTCTTAAGCCTCCTTCTTCTTCGTTAAAAAATTAAATAAAAAAATGGTTTTGTAAAAAAATTAATTTTACACTTTACAAAATGTCCAAACAAAATATCGGTTATAATAATGGTAAAGACTGACAGAGGTGATGTTCTCTTTAGATTTTGTTTTTACAAATTATATGGTTTCTTTAACCATTTTATTAAAATTTGCTTTAGATGATATTATATTTCATCTAATCTTAGAAATTTTCAAGTACACCTAGTCGCGAGGATCGAAATAACGTTTGATGTCCATTAGACTAATGTAACTATGAAAATAAATAACATATGCTAAATGCGTTATAAAAAAATATAAAGGACATAAGATCACGTCCTTGAGTTCATATACCACACATTCTATTTTAAAAACTATTTCTTCTTTCTATAAACTCAACACCAATCGATTAGCACTTAGATAACAAAAATCTGCTTTTGCCAATAAAATTTCTAAACTTAGAAACTAAAAAACCATTTTCAACTAATGTTTAGTTTATAAACACTGTTTTGCGAATGGTGGGTGAAGGTTTAATCTCAATTTTAGAACGTTCACGTAAAATAAAATAGAAAAATTTTAAACGATACTAACTTTTTTTTTTATATAGTGTAAAACCCAAACGGTCACCCTTCTTATACGCTAGTTGGATAAACCTCACCCACGTGGATGAACCCACAATACACATAGAACAAGTAAATCAACCGTAACTGATAGACGATAGGTGAATTGGTAAAGAGTTAGAAGCCTCGATCTCTCGATATATTGATGATGTTTTTTCCCCCAGACGACACTAACTTAGTAAGATGTATGACTTTTTTCTTCATTGAAAACACTTTTACCAATTTATTTCTAAAATTTTCTTCAGTTTAGAATACCCTTTTTCATAATAATATGAACTCGTCAATTAGAATTAAAAAACAAATAGTAGCGTACACATGACACGTGTTACCTCGCGGAGAAGATAGAAAACATAAATAATCAAATAATCGGTAGGAGATGCAAATTTTCATCAAAACCATTGATAGTGGAAGGTGAAATCATCACGTACCTGGAAACAACACTCTTTTGATTTCCACTTTTCGCCTTTCTCCTCCAAGATTTTCACGTGTTCATGAATTATCTAATATATTATTTTATATATTATTTTTTCCTGTGGAAAAAGTGTCTGAAAAGGTCGAAGAAATATATATATATATATAAAATAATCAATGAAAAGAAAGATTTAAGAGGAAAAGTGCCCGAGAATAGATGCAACCTATTTTGATCGCCAGATTGTGCACTTTCTTTTTCTGTCATCTGTTTACTAAAACCACGAAACTCACCGAAACTGTTTTCATGTCCATATTCAATGAACCCTAATCTCTCTCTCTCTCTCTCTCTCTCCGTCTCTCTGTCTCTCTATCTTCTATCTAACTGTGAGAAAAAAAATAAATCCACAAGAGAAAAAAAGATATGAGTTTTATTAAAAATAATATAATTGATGTATAAAACATAAAAAAATAAATAATCTAATTGGAGGAGAACGGTATCAAGATTAAAAATAAAATAGCTGGTTGATTCTAATGAAGAGGCTTTGAAAAATTCAAACAAGAATCCATATGTTGAGATGATTTAAAAAAATATATAAATATTTAATTAGGGGAGAGAGACTGAAGCGGGTTAGATAAAGAATTACGAAAAAACCACGGGTTCTGCAATGTGGTGGGAAAAGTCAAAAGCTAAGAGCGATCTAGCTGGGGTTGACTTTTCCAATGCCCATACGCTCGTCTATTTTGAATCTGGACGGATTTAGCGAGATGTTCGTCCTGGTCATTGACCGCGTGTCTTCACGCGCGATTGCCACTTGGAGCGCTGGCGTCTCGTGATTGGCTTGTTCGAGTTGGCTACATGGACAACCGCATAAATTTAAAATTATTATTATTTTTTATTCATAAATTTAATACGAATTATTATGTTATTTTACATTTTAAAAAACTTATTCTGTTCCTTTCATACGCATCAACTGTGCGCACGATCGAGGAAACAAGTTATTGTCAGTATAATTTATATACATGATTTTGCGAATACAATAATACATTAATTAATAACTATATCCTATTGAATGATGATTTTATTAGAGTTATCTAAATATAGATAAAAACGAAAATTTTATATGAATAATTTTTTAACAAGATATAAATTTTTTATTAGTCTAATAATTAAGTACGATTTAACCTGGATTATAAGGCGAATCGTGAAAAACAGTAGAGACATATTTGTCTGGTTCTAAAATAGAAGGTGGACAGAAACATGAATCACAAAATCATGTATTTTATTATATTTTGATAATTTATATTAGTACCCGAAGATAATTAGTAATTTGCGCATTCTCTTATAAGAAACCAAACCTTTCAAATTCTTCGGCAGACATATTGCATATACGCAAAGCTCCACTAATATTTTAATGACCGTCCAAACAAAACAAAGTCAATTCGTATAATAATTCAGATGGTTTAGACTAGGGGTGGGCGTTTCGGTTCGGTTCTTCGGAACCGGACCGAACCGAACCGTTAAAACGGTATTTTTCCCGACCCGAAACTGCTGTTATTTTCCGAACGGTACCATTTTTAGATAACCGAATTTTCTCGGAACCGAACCGAACCGAACTTTAAAAATCCCGAAAAACCGAATATTTTTAAAAAAAATCTATCATTTTTTTAATAAAATCCGGAACCGAACCAAACCGATACCGAAACCGAACCGAACCGAATACAATAAAAAACCCGAT